ATCAGTCCCTAACCCTCAAGGGGCGTACAATCTAAGGTCCCTAACTCACATTCATACATACACATACTAGGGCCAATTTAGACAGGAGCCAATTCACCCAGCAGCATGTCTTTGGAGTGTCGAGGAAACCGGAGTACCCGGGGGAAACCCACGCAGGCACAGGGAAAACATGCAAACTCCAGGCAGGTGGTGCCGTGGTTGGGATTTTCTAATAATATTGTTTTCTGTATCTGTCATTACTTAATTAATTGTTATACTTATAAGTATTTGTGTGATCTCTTTTTGCACATATCAAGTACAATCCCAAATATGTAACAACACACAACTAAAAAAAAAGTGATACGATTTTATATACAACGTGTATCTGCTATAAATAATACCATAAATGGTAGATATATTTAAATCAAATTAATTTGTGCCCCTTCGCATGTGTTATACATACTTCTGCTTTTCTGACAGAGAAAAGCTCCCATTTAATGTAGTCTAAGCTTGCGCCCCTCCCCCCCCCACCCCACGTCATAGAATGTTGTGATTGGACACCTAGCCCCTTGGCTGTATAGTTATTACATAGTTGGGTTAACCGGTTCCTCACCACCTTATAGCAGAAACACTGCTACAGTCTGGCATGGGTGCACAAAATCATGTACAGTATATATATATATTATTTTTCAGTTCTGGGTAGTGGGCATGTGCGTAACCTGCGCCACCAATCGTGGCCTCTGTTGTCAATCACCAGGTGCCGGCCGGTGATTCCCCGCCGGAACCTGGTGATCACCGAGTATTACTGACAGGGGAGAGACCTGTATGTAAACAACACAGTTCTCTCCCCTGTCAGCTCCTGCACTCTGCTTTGTATGGCTTTGCATAGCAGTGTACTTACATTGTAAAGCACAGCACACAGTTAACCCTTTGTTCGCCCCAGATGTTAACCCCTTTGTGCCCAGTGTCATTAGTACAGTGTCAGTGCTTTTTATTAGCAATAATCACTGTATTGGTGGCACTGGGGATGTCAGTGACACCAAGTCAGTTTCCCCCAGTGTCAGAATGCTTGCCGTTGTCCCGCAGTCCCGCTATAAGTCACTGATCACCGCCATTACTAGTTGAAGAAAAAGATGCCAGCATCTATACCGCCATTTGTAAACGCTACAACTTTCATGTAAACCAATTCATTTACACGTATTGGGATTTTTTTTTAACAAAGACGTGGCAGAATACATTTTGGCGCAAATTTATGACGAAATCTAATTTTTAAAATTTTTTTACTGTGCATGTGTAATAGCAAAAAGTCAAAAATGTTTTTTTTCTCAAAATTGTCGCCTTTTTTTTACAGCGCAAAAAAAAAACACACAATCGAGCAAAGACCATCGAAAAAAAAAGCTCTATTCGTGGTAAAAAAAGGACAAAAATTTAATTTGGGTGCAGCATTGCATGACCGCGCAATTGTCAGTTAAAATAACACAGAGCCATTTATAAACAAATGGCCTGGTCAGGAATGGGGTGTGAAGAACGCGGCGTCAGACCCCTGACCTTCTCACCAAACTCGTGACCAGAGGACTAGCCAATCTAAAACCGCGATGTCACGTGCGTAACAATGCCACACTCAGCTGCACCCTGCACAACGATTTTCCATCTAATTGGACCACAATCTATGTATGGGCAGCCTGGGAGCGATTGTTACTGGGTCAGGTTAATTACGCAATTAACCCTTCACACTGCCACACCACCTCCTTTTTGTACAGAGAAAGAGGAAACTTGGCAATATCAGCTATAACACTATAATGGTTGAGATAATCGTCTGTATAAACACGGTCACCGCAGACCAGTTATACAGAGGGTTAAACAAACACAGTAGTGCTCTTTTTTAGAAGCAAAATTCGTAAATTGCAATAAGAGCTATAGAAACAGTTCAACGCGTTCAGAAGGAAAGATTTATTACTAAAAGGTCAAAAGGGTGCAATAAAAATATTTACGAAAAAAGATGTAACCAATATATATATATAAATATGCAGAGAACAACAGCACAGCAAAGAGATAACAGAGAGAAGTTAGAGGGTTAAAGTACTTGCCAAAGTCCTGGGTTAGCAGATCAAGTTTCAGAGCGAAATGGCACTGGTCTCCCCAAATAGTTCTGATGTTAAAAGGGAGAATTCTTCAACTTAACTTCTTAGCCCTGACAACCCATTTTGTAGTTCCCCAGCAGGGGGTGTCTCTAAAGGCAAGGACCAATACCCCATTCAGGGAGGGATCATCTGGGCGTAGACTTAAGCTACAGCCAAAATCTCTTCTAGTTCATATTTTGGCTCATAACTTTCCCTATGCACAAGTGACATTCCACCCGTGGGTAGATTATTATGCAGACACACCTGAGGAACGGGTAGATATGAAATATGAAATACATATTTGAAGGGTTCCAGAGACGTAATTTTCTGCTTTCCTAGGTATTCCAGTCAGGGAGTGTGACCTGACTGGCCAATCTGAAGATATGCCTGGTTTTTATGTAAGTATCTCATATTCCAAGATATGAGACATAAGGGAAAAATGGATTTTAAAAGTGTTATCTGGTTCATGCTTCTCTGGAATGTCTTTGAAATCCTGGGAAGGCTTGCGTTATCTTTTTACGATGTGCTATATTGCACAGCTTTCTTAGACAGCCAGGTGCTCAGCTCAGAGGGGTGTATAGCTCTGGGCTCCCTGCTGGGCTCTGGCCTGCCTGTGACACTTTTTAACAAACAGGCCATATGTCAATGTGTATGAACAGAGAGGAAGGGGGAGAATGAGGGGGAAATATGCTTGTCAAGATGGTTGACCCTTTGCCAAGATGGAGGTTGAAGCCAAAATGGTTGAACCGCGTCCATCTCTGGGTGTACGCTTGCTACATGGGGGTAAATCCACTGGAGGGCAAGTGGTTAATGCATTCCATGCATAAGGTAAATAATGTTTAGGAATTGGTTTTGGCCCCTCGCCCCCCCATTCCCTTTTATTTACCTGAGCCCTCATTTGATCAAGTGCAGTGTACATATGTAGCACTTCTCTCCCCTCACATCTGTGTTTCACTGGCTTTTCTGGGGCACCGGGTTAATCAAAGCCAGTGAATAGGGAGTGGAAAGTAGGGTCTAGTCCGGCTATCTGTGTTAATGGTGGTGGTTTATAATGGTGGTGAATTCTGAATAGGTTGTCCATGTGCTCCTAATTGCAGTGATGTGGGTCTCCTGGAGCACCAACCTGCTTTTTTTGATGGGCCATGGGTGTTGGTATGATTGTGGAAAACCTGGGGCACTCAGAGAAGATATAGTGCAGGGCTCAGGAGTGTGTAACACAAAAGGCTCAGTGCTCAGGAGTGCATATCATACAGTGCAAGGTTCCAAGGTGCATATCACACAGAATGAGGGGTCAGGAGTGCAACTCAAACAGGGTTTAAGGGTCAGGAGTGCATATTGCACAGAGTGCAGAGTGCATAGCTCAGGAGTGTGTAATGCTTAGGACATAGGGCTCAGGAGGGCATATTACACAGGGTGCAGGGTTCATGGGGTAAAAAAGGAAAAGGGTGCATGGGACAGTATTGCATACTGCACATAGTGTGGGGATCAGCAGTACACAACTGTAACATAAATGCTGGGTGCAATAACTAAAAGCAAGTCATATACACACACACACAATCGACAGGTAGTCACACATAGGTACTTTTAATCAGAATTTACACCATTACATATTCTATGCATGTAAATGACCCTCTACCAAATGAATACCTGCCCTGGCACATCATAGCATTCACCCGGCACTCCCAAGAAATAAAAAAAATCCATCTGCAATATTCTTGCACTGTCAAAACCTCCACATTTATTATCACACGACACACAGGAGGATATATCTTATAGTTATCACAATCTGCATAATAACACACTCCAATAATAATGTGAGCATTTCAGTATGAAATAGACACATTATTTGACAGCGTCACAGTATAGAATTAATAAATTACCAAAGCTATGTGAAAGTGGGAAGGAACAGATCCCATTGGAACCATACTGCACAGGGGGTCATGGGGAAGCCATAAACGTATCCAATCGATGAGCCCGTATAGCATTGGCAAAAATCCTAGTGTCAGAGCATCCCCTGGCAACTAGGAGGGCTTCCTAATCGATCCCGTTTGGACTCCCGGCTTTTAAACCATTTTCCTGGCAGCTTTCCATAAGTGGGCAGGCGCCACACCCACTGTAGGAGGAGCTAGCAGAAAGGTTCCGTGAGGATAACAGAGTCACAATCAGCCACCATATTGAGTTCACATCGTTATCTGAAATGTCACACTTTTGCTTCAGATCAGCTTCTTATCTAGCCTAAACTTCTTCTCATCTACCCTAAACTTCTCATCTACCCTAAACTTCTTCTCATCAAACCTAAACTTAAAGAGTTCTAACTTTTCAAGCAAGCAGACATCCTTAAACACGTTCTTATCTTCTAATGTGATATTACTAGATGTCGTAAACACATTCAATCACCAGGTACCAAGTACAAACAAGTTTTTATCTTGCTCTAAGCAGAATAAGAATGTGACTCTGATAGTGACTCTAGAGAAATGACATCAGTCACTTTTCATGCTCCTGGTATCTGGGCAACAATGCTTTAAATTACCCAAGAAACAAAGGGTCCAAGGCCAACATGTTACAATTTGAAACACAAAATTATAAATTATAATTTAATAAATAATCATAAAAAATAATAATATAATAATAAATTTAATTCAATAATATAATCAAACCAAAAACACTGAAATTTGAAATAGAGCGCCAAGTTCGCACATCACTGAGCAAAGTCGCAAAATCATTTTCAGTGTCTGATGATGAATTTCCCCACGAATCATTATCACTCAGATCTGCAAGTGGTTCTGATTTACTATCGCTGTTCTCTAGCTGGTCTAAAACCGCTTTTGACATTTCTCAGATTCCAGGCAGAAAGAACAGTAAAAATGCAGGTAGGGCACAGGACACAGCACTAGCGACAAAATGTATGTGAAATGGTTTGATACAGTAATGTTTTAACTATGTGATTTTAGTGAATTTAGTGAATGTCACTTTTTGTCATTTTCAAATTTCCCGCCGTTCCGTCCCCTGTACGTCCCGACGCTCGCAGGGGACGGAACCCAGATGACAGATGCCGACATCACCCGGAGGACATTGCCGGGGTCACTGCAGGAGGGACATCGCGGGAGCGCAGGACAAGGTAAGTGAAGAACAGATCCCAGAGCAGCGCTGCATGGTAAGCCCGAGTGTAGCTTGAGGTTACCGCTTGTGGTACTGAAACTTTACCCGAGCTACACTGGGGAATACCTCCAGGGAGGCTACTAAATATGTTTTAAGCGATATCACAGTTGAAGTTTTTTTTATCACATTTTAGCTAACATAGTTTTTAACATCAGATTTAGTGCAAGGTATATACAGTATTTTGGGAATATACAATTTTCTTTCACATTTAAAGTTTTTTTATAATACTATACTTAGTGTTTTGCTTGTGTACATATATCTTGTATCAGGATATAATGATAGCTGATGCTAACAAGATTATTTTACCTGAGAGCGGATTCCTCATTACTTTTAGTAGTGGTCAGAAGTGCATAACACACAGGGAATAGGATTTAGGAGTGCATAATGCTCAGAGTACAGGGGTCAGGAGTGCATATTGCACAGAGCACAGGGATCAGAGTTCCATAACACACAAAGTGTAGGGGTCAGGAGTGCACAATGCATAGGATGCAGGGCTCAAGTGTGCATAACACACAGTGTGCAAGGCTCAGGAGTGCACATGGGCAATGGGTCCAGGGCTCAAGAGTGCATATTGTGCTAGGAGCAGGAGTACATATTGTGCTAGGCTTAGGAGTGTATAACACAAAGGCCACAGGGACCAGTAGCAGTAGTGTGTACTGTGCAGGGCTCAGGACTGCATATTGTACAAGGTTCAGGAATGCATATCACCTAAGCCTCAGGAGTATGTATCTCGCAAGAGCAAGGAGTAGGTAATGTACAGGCCAGTATATAACCAAATATTATCCCTCTAATAACAGTATAGAATGTTTCCCCCAAAGCCCTATACAGCAGGTCATTAAAGTGTCCCTCATTACTGTGGTCTGTGTAATCAGCATGTGCTGTGCTATACTCAGCTGAGAAGCAGTAGCCAGTGTTGGGACACACAGAGGATGTTGTGTGAATGGTGACTAAGGGCTTCCCCAGTGTTCAGTGACAAAGTTACACTCTAGTCCCATTCTACCCCAATCTCACCTGTGATGTCACACTGTCTGGGTCATGGCTGCTGTTGACCCTTTATGGAACTGGTCCTGGCTATGCTTTGCATGGGTGTGCAGTATGGTGCAGCTAAATATATAAGGTCACAGATAGCAGAAGAGAGGTAAGATTGCACCTTCATGCATGGCTGCCCTACATATGCCTGTCTAGAAATAAAAACAGGTCCTGGCTATGCTTAGCATGGGTGTGCAGTGTGGTGCAGCTAAAGATTTGGTCACAGATAGCAGAAGAGAGGTAAGATGGCACCTTCATGCATGGCTGCCCTACATATACCTGACTAGAACTCAAATCAGGATTTTAAAAACACAATCATTCCCAGGTCACAATCCAGGACACACTAGTCATGGAAATACTGAATAAACAGTAGGACTGTCCTGGCAGATCTAGGACATTCCACTAGGGAAGAGTTTATCAATGACAATCAATGCAATTCTGTCAGCACAGGTTTCCTTTAAAGGTAAATACAATTTGTCTGTGGTTAGCAATGATCCTTAAGACCTTGCTGCTGGTGGGAACCAACCTCTTAATTGGGCCATAATGCCAGAGGTCTGTAGGAGGTGTTCCCATTCATTCACTGTGTTTGGCTATACAGTGATGACACAAATGGGATCCTGTCCTAATGGCTCCTGATTGTCAGTAGTTCACTATGAGCTGTTATATTTTGCTGTTGTGAAGGTGTTACTGGGTATGACAAAAGCTAAATAAAGTAAAATGAAATGTTTTCACTTGATTTTGCATAATTTCTAATTTTGCTTAGACAGTTTTTATTCAAATTATGACATTTTGTATTTTACTACAAATCTCCTGGGCAACAACAGTAGCAGTGAAGAAGTGAGAGCTGCTTTCTGCTAGGGAATATGTAGAGCTGGTTCTGTGAGTGTAGGCCATCATCTGTTTATATCTGCTCCTATTGTGATTGATTTTGGGCTGATCTAAGAGAGATACTGGGGGTAAAGGACCTTGTGATGGTGAGGGCAGTGAGATTTTTGGAGTGCTGGAATAGGGGAGCATTTGATCTCCTAGTGGTAATAGTTATCCTGGTAAGTAGGATGGATCTTTTAAGCTGGACACAAACACACACACAGTATTTTTTTCATTTAACCAGTGGGTTGGATGGAAAAAACATGACAGATCCCCACATCAACACAAACAATGTTGATGCAGGGATCTCTCCCAATGAGACATCCGGGGTTATTTACTAAAACTGGTGCACACAGAATCTGGTGCATTCTGCATAGACACCAATCAGCTTCCAAGTTATATTGTCAAAGCTTAATTGAACAAGCTGAAGTTAGAAGCTAATTGCCTACCATGTGCAACTGCACTAGATTCTGAGTGCACCAGTTTTAGTAAATCTCTCCCACTGCATTCTGACAGAGATACTCTCCCCCTCCCCCTTCCTCTACCAGAATGCACTGATCAGTGCTTTGGCTGCAATGGCTGAATGATTGCTGATTTTGGAGCATGCCCGTTAGACAGAAGCCAGTCGTTAGATCAGCTTCTGTTGAACAGACAACTGTAAACACAGACCGAAAGTCAGACAGTTCCTTATGAACAGGTTGATTGTCAGCCTGTATGTACTAGACTTTATACACTCCATGGAAAGACCAGCGCACATCTGTGTGCTCTAGCCCAGCCTTTTTCAACCAGGGTACCTTCAGATTTCTTCATGGGTGCTCTGGCAAAATGGCAAAAATTGCCCAACAATTGTATAAAAGCCAGCAGCTGGATGTAGCCTTTTAGTTACACAAAACCACAGATTTTCATTGGACACCATTACAACTTCTTTCTAGCTGCTGGCGACATAATAACCAATTATGACATCAGTTAATAAGAAGGACATTGGGCACCTGCACAGCATTCTTGCTTGCCCCTCTCTGTCAGCATTGGGGTTACATTAGCTGAGTGCGAGAGAGAAACTGAGGGAGAAGAGAAACAGTGGAATACTAGTCAATACCAATGTGCAAAGGTGTATTTGCTTTGGAAAAAAAATAACCTCTAACATTGGGCATTCCACATGTACAGATGTTGCTGCATTCTGTAAAACTATTCATTACGTTATTTACATTTTGTAATGGATTCCTCAAGTTTGTGCAGAATTTTAAAGGGTGCATTGAGATTGTGCTGAATTTTAAAGAGTGCCTTGAGATTGTGCTTTGTACCTTGTACAAGAATGATATTAAAGGTGCCTTGACTGAAAAAAAGGTTGAGAAACACTGCTCTAGCCATTGGGACAGTTGGTGAGGGGAAAGGCATTGGCAGGCAAAGTCACTGAAGAATCCTTGTACAAGAATGATATTTGGGCCCCTCCCATTCAACTACTGCTCAAGTACATACTCTTAGATGTACACTTAGCTTAATATACTGATTAATATGGAGAGTAGTTTCTACAACTCAAAACTCTCCAATGATCCCTGATATGCAGCTAGAGTCAGACAATGAATGGTCCCTCAACCTCATCATGCCAACAGTATGCAAATATGCAGCCTCTTGGTGTCTGGGCCTTTATGCCGAGCAGCCGCATATTTGCATACCATTTGTAAACAAACGTGCTAAGAGCGGGCACCCTGCACACTCCCAGCACCTGTCGGCGTCCCACGGAAAGGTCCCGATCTGTCCTTGCAATCAGGACCTTTCTGATCATGTGACTGCCATGACAGCCAATCATGGCGGTCACATGACCCAAAACTCCATCCAACCTCCCGGCATCAGAAACCTCTTAAAGGGCTGGGAGGCGCCTGTGTGAAGGGATTAACATTCAATCTAAATGCTGGTCAAGAGAAAACAGTAGTAGTGTTCTGCATATTTCAGCTCTGGTATAAACAGGGGATAAAGAAGGTTCTTGCTGCCTTGCACATAAGAAAAACATTTTGAACTAGAGAAGCTACAATTTCTGGGGAAATCGTGTGAAGTGTTCTTGCCTCCACCAGTAGTCTACAAGTGGATGGAGTGGGTGGAGTGGCTTGAGTAACTGTTGTGTGGTTGGAGTGGCTGGAGTAACTGTGAAAAAGTTGGACTGGGCAGAGTAACTTTATGGAGTGGGCAGAGTAACTGTGTGGAGTGTTTGGAGTGAGTAAAGATAGTAAACATTACACTAACCAATTGATTGATCAAATTTAAAAAGTGCACATGGCAAGCTTGATAGAGTGAGGAATGCATTTCAGCTTTTATTTTTCAGCTCACACTCTAGCTTTTGTCACTCTGCTGCCTGCTCACACACCTGGGTTCCTATGGCAACTGACTCTACAGCAAGGGCAGAGAAGAGCGGGTAAAAACAAACTGCTCCAACTTGCTCACTTCACTGGTGGTTGCCATCTTCTTGTAGTTTAAAAATTATACATCCTACACCGAAGAGCTTTATATTGTGAGAATCACAAGACCCAGACCTACATGTTGATGCATAGTATGTCTCTAAAATATTAAAAATGAAGGCACAGGCGCAGTTTAGAAATTGCCCTTCAAATTTGAGGTGGCTAGAGTGGAGTTTCAATGAATGTCAATGGGCGGCGTGAGTTGCAAACAAATGATCATATTGTAAAAACTATCAGGACTATGGCTTAGCCGTGGACATTTTTAGTGGCAGCAGGGATAGCTTAACATTTTGATATAAGATTTGTGTAGGTGGGCTTGAAAATGAGGGAGTGATAGCAGTTTAGAAATCATGTCCTGATTTTTCAGCTCACACTCTAGCTTTTCTCAGCTCACACTCTAGTTTTGAACATTCATTCCTTTGGGACCAATTTCATCACAAAAACGCCGATATTTTGTGAACCATTCAGCGAAACGTTCCACAAAGTAATAGTACACCAATCTGGAACAATTTGCATGTTTCGGTATATTACTGCTATGTAGTGTAAAAACTGTGGGGGAGTTAGGGTGGTAAATTTGGCTATAATAATAAGAAGTATATTGTGTGTTGGATAACCTGTAGTGATCTTGCCATGCAAGAACACTAAATAATCTCTCCTGTTTCTCTTCTGCCCTATTTATGTAAGCACTTTCATATGGACACTGGCAGAGGGTCTAAGCACCTGTCTTACCATCATCTAATCTAAATAAGCTCCAAATCCCAGGGGCCCTTGTGCAGCAAAGCATAAGAACATATACACTACAGAGGAAGATCCAGGATTTGGCAAATACTGAGGTTGATTTTTTAAAGGAAAATATTCTGCATAAAGGGAAGTTGCCCTTTGCAGAATATGTTTCATTAGTGCTTAGTGAAGGTGGTACAATTTCACTTTGCAAAGAATACCAGCTCGATGTCCAAGGAAAATAAAAATTACTTTTTCATTGCTCAGAATTGATGGTGGAAGTCAGCATCGAACCCTCGTCACTAAGCTCTGGATAATTCCCTTGCAAAGTTACATAGTTTACATTTTTACCTTAGCCAAAATTTAGTGGCGTTATTCAAAACTTACAGTCACCGTTTATTATTGTGCATTATCGGTCCATTGTTTATCATACCCATTTGTCTGCAAAAATAGCGCTGCACAGCAAAACATGATCTAATTTGCTCCTGCAGGGAAAAAAAGGTTCCTGATCCCCCGAGATGCAATCAAATATTTTCTGGATCATCTTTACCTATAAATGTTAGTATCCAGTTATATTCTGTGTAATCTAAGAAAGAATCAGGCCTCTTTTCTAAAGCAATCCACTGAGCTGGCCAGAACCAACTCTTGAGGGAGTCTATTCCACATTTTCACAGCTCTCACTGTGAAGAAACCTTTCCATGTTTGGAGATTAAATTTCTTTTCCTCCAGACGTAAAGAGTGCCCCCTTGTCCTCTGTGATGACCTCAGGGTGAATAACGCTACACCGAGGTCCTATATGATCCACTGATGTATTTATACATGTTGATCATATCCCCCCTTAATCTCCTCTTCTCAAGAGAGAATACATTCAGTTCCTCTAATCTTTCCTCGTAGCTGCTCTCCTCCATGCCTCTTATCAGTTTGGTTGCCCTTCTCTGCACTTTCTCCAGTTCCCCAAAACTGAACTGCACATTCCAGATGATGTATTACTAATGATTTGTACAGGGGTAATATGATATCTCTCTCTGGAGTCTATACCAGAGAGAGATATCATATTTAGAACCCGCAGCTTGGCATTGCATGCCATTATTAAGCTTGTGATCTACCAGAACTCCCAGATCCTTCTCCACCATTGATTCCCCCAGTTGTACCCCCCTAGTATGTATGATGCATGCATATTCTTAGCCCCCAAGCGCAGAACCTTACATTTATCAACATTAAACCTCATTTGCCACATAGTTGCCCATTTAAACAGTGCATTGAGGTCAGCTTGTAAGTTGGAGACATTCTGTAAGGACATTATTCCACTGCACAGCTTGGTGTCATCTGAAAAGACTAAAATGGTATTTTTAATCCCAGACTCTATATTGTTTATAAATATGTTAAAAAGTAAGGGTCCCAACACTGAAGGTGTGAGAGAAAGAAAAGTCAGAAAGAAGAATAGTTAGAGAAGAAGATAAAGATATAGAGTGAGGTAGTGGGGGGAAGGGGTATAAGAGGCACAAAAAAAAAAAGGGAGGGAGGGAGGAGAATGGGTAGGTAGCAACAGGGACGTTAAAGTGAATAGTTTTGGATAACATAGTGCACATCATTTTGTCATATGGATTAAGATGCAATACATGCAAGATCAATCAAAGGGGCAACACGTGGGTCCAGAAGCCGAAATGCAGGCTACGATGTCAAGTCTCAGTTCTTCCAAATGTGCACCAAATGTGTCTATGGTGGACAGGGTGTTTTCTAGTACAACAGTGTGTCTAACCATTCAGTCAGGGGGTATAGGCTGAGCATGCATTAATAGGCGATAGGTATTGGTGGTTTTGAAATGGCTCCAACACGCCCAAGTCTTCCTGAATCTCTTGGGATGTTCTTTAGCTACAGAAATCAGTTCCTCCATTTCCTCTATTTTGTTGATCCTAGCAAACCATTCTCGAATAGTGGGAATATGTGTTGAGCGCCAGTGGACTGGGATACACTGTTTTGCCGCATTGACAATGTGCATGGCGACTGATTTGCAGTACGTCCTAAATGGAAGCGTGGACTGGTGGAGTAAAAATTGAGCAGCGGAGAGGTCTAATGAATACATAGTTACTTGAGTGATTATGGATTGGATTTTCTCCCAGAAATGTTGCAGCAGTGGGCAGTCCCACCAAATATGCAGGAGTGTGCCCGTCGCCTGGTGAGATCTCCAACACAAATCTGAGATGTTAGGGTCAAATTTGTGAAGCAAGGAAGGAACTCTGTACCATCTAAAGTATAGTTTAAAATTGTTTTCTTGTGTAGAAACACATATGGACCCTTTGTACATATGTTTGTAAATGTGCTCCCAGTCTTCTGGTGAAAGTTGGATTTGCAAGTCAGAGCACCAGGCCTTGCAAGCTTTCCTGGACGAAAGGTCGATGGTGTTTACGAGGCATGTGTAGAGCTTAGATATAACATGTCTCTGGGGAGAGTCTGTGGAGCAAAGTTTTTCAAATGCGGTGAGTGGCCTAGTATAACTTTTAAAATGTGAGGAGCTATGTATAAAGTGATGGCGCTGTCTGTACATCAATGGCGTCAAGGTTAAGGATGGCCATTTGATTAGAAGGAGGTCTCTGGGTAAGAGTGTCTCATCTTTGAAGAGTTGATGCAACTTCAAGTTATCTGTGGGGTCAGACCCGGTGAGAAAGGCACGAGACATACCAGGGGGGAAGACTGGGTTCATTTTGATAGGAGTGAGTGGGCCAGAGGTAGAAGAGAAACCTGTTTTGTGACTTAACTGATGGTAACACGATAGAGTGAGGCCTATAAGAAGGTGTTCCCTGAATTCAGATGGAATGTGGGAGTTTTTCAGCCAAGGGGAAGTGGCGAGTGGGGTTCCCGAAAATACAGCTTCCAAATTAACCCAAGCCTTATGGTTGCGGTTTGTAGACCAATCTACTATTCGTGCCATGTGACAGGCTCTATAGTATCGGGTGATATCAGGCAGTCCAATACCTCCGCTCGTCTTAGGCATGGTAAGTTGTTCAAAACGATTCTGGGGCATTTGTTACTCCATAAAAACAAGGTACACAATGTTTTATATGACTTAAAGAAAGAATTAGGCAGTTTGATGGGAATCGTTTGCATCAGGTATAGTAGTCTAGGAAGTACATTCATCTTGAGGATCGCTGCTCTGCCAAACCAAGAGAAAAACAGTTTGTCCCATTTCTGCAGATCTTTGGTGATGCTACGTTGGATGGGTAGAAAGTTTTTTGCATAGAGTTTCGAGAGGTGAGCTGGTAATTGATGTAAGTGATGGCCTCAGACTGCCATGCGAAAGGAAAGTTCGTTCTCGTCTGCCTGACCGTATCTTGGGTTAGGGAGACATTGATGGCTTGGGATTTATTGAAGTTGATTTTAAGATTGGCCAAGTACTGAAATAATTGGAAATCGTTTAGTAAGTTAGGTACCGTAATATGTGGGTTTGTCAGGAAAAGTAAGATATCGTCAGCAGAGGCCGCTAATTTGTGGATTTTGCCATTGATTAAAATTCCTTTGATGTTATCATTCTGTCTAATGCAGTTCAAAAAAGATTCCAACGTGAGAATGAATAGGAGGGGGGATAATTGACAACCTTGTTTGTTCCCATTACTTATTGAATAGGTGTCTGAAAGGAGGCCATTGACTCTCACTTTAGCCGTAGGTGTTGTATAGAAGGATATGATAAAGGTCAAAAGACGTGGAGGAAGCCCAAGGCCAGTCAACACAGCCTCCATGTAATCCCAGGTTAATCTGTTGAAGGCCTTCTCAGCGTCTAGAGAAAGAAAGAAACCAGATTGTTTCTTCTGTGTCACCCAGTGATGTATATTTATTGCCCTGATCATATTGTCTCTAGCCTCTCTACCGGGTACGAACCCCACCTGATCAGTAAAGATAATAGGGTCTATGATGCAAAGCAAAGTATCCCCTGTCGGTTTTGATGGTAAGGGTAGGTTGTAAAGGGTAATATAATATTTCTCAAATTCGGCCGCAATATCCGCCGAAGTTTTAAGTAAATGACCTTGATTGTAATGAAGTTGATGAATGGTGCGAGCCGCTTTTTTAGACTGTAAGGCCCTGGCTAAAAACGTACCGCTCTTATTTCCATGTTCATAAAAGAGTTTCTGAGACAGAGTAAAGTTGCGCTTGGTTTTCTTTTCCACTACGTCTCGAAGTTGTTTGCATGCCTGATCAAGTTCGGTCGTAGAGTTTACGGCCATAGATCGTTTATGTGAGCATTCAATTTTACGTACTATTTGTAATATGGATGTAAAAGATGCCTGAGCTATGCGTTTTCGGGAAGCAGTGATAGAAAGCAGAAGCCCATGTATCACACATTTGTGTGCTTCCCATTGAATGAGAGGAGTCGTTTCTGGGGACGCATTTTCCTTAAAATAATTGGTAAGAGATTCACAAATTTGGTGGGTTACAGATGCGTCCGTGAGGAGAAAGGGATCTAATCTCCATGTTTTGGAGGTAGGTGGGGCATCGGTCAGATACATGGTCATCATAATCGGATGATGGTCAGAAAGAATCATTGGTTCAATAGAGGCTGATTTCAATGTGTGCAAGTCTCTTTGTGAAATGAATATATAGTCGATTCTGGAATGACGCTTGTGATGTGCGGAAAAAAAGGTGTAGTCTTTGTCAGAGGGGGTGTAGGGTACGCCATGTGTCGTGGAGAAGAAGTTCATTTAGTTAAATTTTAATCTGTTTAAGTGCTTGGAAGGGTTTCGACGAAGAGCCTGTCGAAGTGTCTTCCAAAGGATTCAGTGCTACATTAAAATCGCCACCAAGAATCAAGATGCCCGATTGGAACGTTGCAAATGTTTTAGAGATTGTACGGAAGAAGCTAACTTGAGCCGTATTGGGGCTGTAAATGTTGGCTAAAGTTAGCGGTTTGTTGTGGAGGGTACCTGTGAGAAAGAGGAACCTTCCCTCCAGATCCTCGAGAGATTCAGTAATTGTAAGTGGGAGTGCTTAGGAGATCAAAATGGACACACCCTTTGCTTTTACCTCTGTGTTAACCTCCCTGGCGGTATGATTATTTCAGATTTTTGGTGCTGAAAGCGGTACCATTTTTTTGCATGGAAATATGTATTTTTTTTATTGTAGGCTGTAATTTTTAGGAAAAACTCACTGAAATCTGTCCGAACAAGAGTCTAGTAAACATCCCGGGTATGATAAAATTTGAAACACAAAATCATAAATTATAATTTAATAAATAATCATAAAAATAATATAAAAATAATAAAAAATTTAATTCAATAATATAATCAAACCAAAAACACTGAAATGTGAAATAGAGTGCCAAGTTCGCACATTGCTGAGCTCAGTCGCAAAATCGTTTTCAGTTTCTGATGACGAATTTCCCCCACGAATCATTATCACTCAATTCTGCAAGTGGTTCTGATTTACTATCGCTGTTCTCTAGCTGATCTAAACCGCTTTTGACCTAAAGGGACACTTTTTGGACGCCATGGACATTTCTCAGTTTCCAGGCAGAAAAAGAACAGACAAAATGCAGGCAGGGGCACAGGACAAAGCACTAGGGACAAAATGTATGTGAAATAGGTTGAAACAGCAATGTTTTACTGTGTAAAATGTAAAAAAAAAAAAAATGACATTTTTTAAAATTTTGAAATTTCCCCCGCCGCCGGCGGCGCCCGTACGTCCCAACGTCACAAGGACAGGACACAGAAGCCGGATGCCAGCATCGGCGGAGGAGATGGCCGGGGACGCTGCAGGGGACACATCGTGGGAGCGCAGGGTAAGGTAAGGGAAGAACACATGCCGGAGCAGCGCCGCATGGTATTCCCGAGTGTAGCTCGGGGTTACCGCTTTTGGTACTGAAATGTTACCCCGAGCTACACTCGGGAATACCGCCAGGGAGGTTAACTGAATGGTAGACTGTTGGATAATTGGCATTGGAGAATTTAGGGATATGATCAGCGCGAAAATGAGTTTCTTGGAGAAAGAGCACATCTGCTCGCAAGCTTTTCATGTATGTCAGAAGTTGTGAACGCTTCTCAGGTATATTGAGGCCTCTTGCATTAAGAGAGGCCACAGAAAGTATATGGTGGCTGTCCAAGGTTTTGCTCACCTCCTCATAAAAAGAAATCAGATTTGTTTGACAACTTCTGTCTTTCATGAATCCATGCTGTCTGTTGCTTAAAATATTTTTTTCCAGCAAGAACTCATCCATGTGGTCTTTTATTAAACTATACAGTATCTTCCCAACTATAGAAGTTAAACTAACAGGTCTGTAATTACTTGGTAAAGATTGTGACCCCTTTTTAAATATAGGCACAACATTGGCCTTACGCCAATCCAGTGGTACTATGCCAGTCATTAAAGAGTCCCTAAAAATTAGAAACAAAGGCTTTGCTCAATTCTTTAAGGACCCGTGGGTGTATGCCATCTGGTCCAGGTGCTTTGTTCACCTTTATTCTGTCTAAATATTTTTGGATCACATAAATTGTGAGCCAATGTGGATCAACTGGAGCTGTGTCAATACCATGCCCATTATGGACAAGAGCTCCCCCATGCTTTTTTGTATACACAGAGATGAAGAAGGTATTTAATAAATTTGCCTTCTCTTTTCCCCCAGTCACCCACTCTAGATTATTTTGTAAAGGGCCTACATGCACGGACCGGACCTTTTTACTATTAATATATCTGAAGAATTTTTTGGGGTTGGTCCTGCTATCTTTTGCAATCTGTCATTCGTTTTCAATTTTTGCAGCCTTTATTTCCTTTTTGCATATTCTGTTATATTCTTTGGAATGTTTAAACGATTATAGCGTTCCTTCATTTTTATATTTCATAAAATTTATTTTCTTATTATGTATAGCTTTTTTAACTTTGGCCATAAGTCACATAGGTTTGATTTTTAGCCTTTTAAACTTGTTGCCCATGTGAATATATTTTGCAGTGTGTTCACATACATGCCAATATTCCCTCCCAGTCTAAGTCTTGGAGAGCAGCTTTCAATCTTGGAAATTGAGTGTTTTATTTTTCCCGTATAAGCTTGCTGTTTACATCTAACAATAAATGAAATCATGTTATGGTCACTGCTACCCAGATGTTTTTTTATATGGACATTTGTAATAAGCTCTGCATGGTTTGATATTACCAGGTCCAGTAAAGTATCATTCCTAGTTGGGGCCTCTATGAACTGTACCATAAAATTGTCTTGTAGTAGGTTTAAAAATGTTTGCCCTTTAACTGTTCCTGAAGTACCATTACTGTACTGTAGTTAAAATTCCCCATTATTATCACTGTGCCAGCCCTTGCAGCCCTTATGATCTGTGCAAGGAGCTGAGTCTCCACTTCCTCATTAACACTGGGAGTCCTATAACAAACTCCAATGATTACCTTTGTAGTACACACCCCCATGTGCAGTTCCACCCCTAATACTTCAGTCTCATCACACTCTCCATCAACTAGGTCCTCTTTCACACATTTGCTCTGAGATCACTTCTCACATAGAGACATACACCAACACCTTTCCTATTTACTCTGTCTCTCCAAAAGAGAACATAGCCAGGAATATTAGTGACCCAGTCATGTGAAGAATGAAACCAAGATTCAGCAATACCAATTAAATCATAATTCTCTTCATTCACCAAAGCTTCCAACTCACATATTTTGCTTGGCAGACTGCTGGCATTGGTGAACAAACATTTTTATTAATTGACACCTTGTTCACACGTATTTTTCATATTTTTTATTTTCATACAAATGGTACCAATTCCACTGGTTGTTTGTAACATAGGAACCTTCTTATCATTTGCCATAGCCTTGCCTCCATCTTTCCTCATTCCAGAAGTGCATATTCTTTTGCAAAATGTATAATCTATTTGCATCTTAGATTGTACACTCCTTGAGGGTTAGGGACTGATGTAAATGTATAATATATATATGTAATGTGTTGCATAAATTGATGGCGCTAAATAAGTACTTGTAATAAATAATAAATAAATACATTTAGTAAATCAACCCCATTGTGTCATGGTCAAGTTCTTATTGACCAAACACGATTTCTTCTGCGCTCTAGGACCCAGGCGGGTGGTAAATAGGTGGAACCAGAACTGGAAAACAGCGACCACCAGTGCATCAAAGGTTGTGCGGCTCCAAACAAGGCTGGGGAAGCCCGACCAACACTACAAAGCGAAATAAAAACGAGAAGCGCACAAAGTCCCCTGCCATTTCAAAGAAAAACATCTGAGCAATCATTGCGGGATGAAAGTCTTTGGAATTGAGGCCATCTCCAAGGATTTGGATAGTGGGAGGAGACACCAGGAGCTATGCAGAAGGGAAAGCTTCTGGATCTTCACATTGGGCACTCTATGTCCTAGAGGCCTAAATGATGACCTTGAAATTCATACTCTTATTTAGCCACCAGTCACTGTCATCAATCTTCGACTAGCAATTATCATTCTTCATCTTTATTCATCTTATATTATACCACGTACATACAGGTGCTCTCCCTTGTGGTCTAGTGAGAATTCAGTGGTCTCTTAACTTTATTAGTGTCACTGAGTTCTTTGAGCTTATGCTATATTGGTTACTATGGTTATACACTAAGGAACAAATAGGTGTACACCCAATACATCATTTATTTATCTTTCAGGTTTCTAGTATAGTCCGATGCACATGCATTTACATCATACACGCTTATATGCGAACTATACTGTCTGCGCACGTTCTGACAATGTGCGTGTACTTGTGTTTGTGTGTGGAAATGCATATTGGTCTAGATATATTATTGCACATCCATTATCCATTAATATCATCTATTGAAAAAGTTTTTTTTTATTTATTTTTTTTTAATATATGTCATTTTCGTAGGTGCACCCATTCGTGCATAAATTATTTTCGAATAAATTTCTTATATACGTAAACACTACTTCCACAATCCTTTATTGATTATTTACGAAGTATTTATTATTTACTATTAATTATTTATTAAGGATTCATTATCATTTATCATTATTTGTTGTCATTATTGTGGAAGTTGGTGCCTCTAAGGTTGCCTCCTGGGTTTGGGAACTTGAGATGCCTGTTAGAGGCTTAGTCAGCCTATGTTCCCAGTAGAGTGTTTTCCATCCAGAGCTCTGCCCGTGTGAAGACGGGCAGGGAGCACTGGAACCCTGTCAGATTGAGTGGCGCCGCTTTCACGCATGCGCATTGGCCGTCGGAAGTGCACTTCTGAGATCACGCCGACGGGCCAGCTCTTCACGTACTGCGCAGGCGCGTGCTGGACGGCGCATGCGCAGCCAGGACCACGCTGTATTGGCGTGCGTTCCAGGGAAAATCAGTCCGCAGTGTGTAATCTGCAGCCATGGTAGGAGACATTAGATCTCCCTCTGCTGCTAAGTATAGAATGTGACCGACCAATCTGCCACATGGGATCTCCACCTCCCGATCTGCATAAGCCACATGTGAACACCCAGGTTCTATATATAAAAAATTATAAATAATCATGATATAAATAAATAATGATATTAACTAATTAATAATAATAATTTTTTAATTCATTTATACTGCTATGATCATATTTACATGTGCGTATGTGTGTACACCCAACCATTGATGAATCTATCTATTATTATTGTATATGACTTTATTACTATTTATTTATGTTTTTTATCCATTTATTATTCCCTCTCTCTCTTGCATGTTTATCACCATCATGTAGAATAATATTATTATCATTGTTTTTATATTCAAATGTTTTTATTGAAAGGTTTTTGAACATACAGAAAAGAATAAACAGGGTAAATGAGGATATCAAGTTCACTTAGGAATGCATAGTACACACAAACATAGATATGCGTGAAGGATCCCCACCGATAGGCCGGGGATTTTTTTAGAATCCAGGTGTTACATGAGAGGTATGCTCATTGTTGAGTGAACTTTCTCGAGGTAACTAGGTTTAATTGAAGAAGAGATATGAATTGGAATAGGGGGGGAAGAAACAGGAGGGGGGCACAAAAGAATACTCGTTTGTTTATATATATAAGATCGGGTTGAAGTAGTAATCATTTTACGGAGCAGTTAGGATGTTTCAACCATTGAGACCATAGAGCTGTAAATTTATGGGAAGATGAGTTGTGGGAGGCTATTCTTCTTTCCATTTCACATTGGAGATTTAGGTCTACAAAGAGGCGAGACAGGAGGGGGGTAGTATTAGAGCGCCATAATCTGGTAATGTTGGTTTTTGCAGCTGCTAAGGTGTGTAGAATAATGGTCCGTGAATTTATGGGGAATTTATCTATGCCAATATGTAGGAGAGCTAAAGCGGGGTTTGGAGTAATTGACGTATCTGTAATTGAGGATAGTATGGTAAAGACTTTGTTCCAGTAAGATTTAATTGACTTACAGTTCCAAAGTATATGAAAAAGTGAACCAGCCTCACCACAATGTCTCCAGCAAGCTTGCGAGTGTTGTGGGTAAAATAATGATAGTTTAGTAGGGGTCAGATACCATTCGTGTAGGATTTTTAGATAGGTTTCCCAGTGGGAGGAACATTTCGAGGCTTTGTAGGTAATAGTGAATGTTTTTTCCCATAAATCAGGGGAAAAGGATTGATGTAAGTTTCTCTCCCAGTTGGTTAAGGAAGACGTGTACGTTGTGAATTGCTTTTCAATTATAAAGGTGTAGAATGCGGAAATTCCTTTCCTTGGGTAGGTGGTTCTATGAAAGAAATGATTGACCGGCGCAGGGATTTCCAAGGTAAGTGGGATATTAGTTTTACAGAGCGCATGGGCTATGCGGATATAAGTAAATTGTTCGTTGTCCGGAAGGTGGAATTTATTTTGGATGACGTGGAAGGAATCTAGTGTATTAGAGGTGTATATGTCTTGAATATGGAGTATGCCAAGGGCCGTCCATATTTTTAAGTTTAAGTTGGGAATGAGGTGGAGAAGAGATGATAGTGGGGTAAGAATTTGGACATTATGGTTCCCCGGTTTGTTGTATTCAATAAAGTCATACCAGGCTGTTAAGGAGGCCTTGATACATGGATGTTTGTGGTGTGTTGGAGTATAAAGAGTA